TAAATATATACATATATATAAATGAATATACAAATAATTATATATATATAAATATACAAATATATAAATAAATATGTAAATAAATACAGTATATATAAAATAATATATATATATATATATAAATAAATACAGTATATATATATATATATATATATATATATATCTGTATGTATGTATCTGTATATCTGTATTTTAACAACATTTATCAGCGCTGCAAGTACAAAAGTATATGTACTGCGCATAACTGGACTACACAGGCAAAACTCACCGGTGTGTTATTCATTTGCATCTACTAGGCCAAAGAATATATGCTAGAATATAGGCTAGGCCTACGTGTTTGCAAAATTGGATAACCTGAAAAAAAAAAAGTAAATAAATGTATAGCTCGCATGGCTCGCATGACTCGCACATGGGCTCGCATGACTTGCTGGCTCGCACTTTGGCACTACTCATGCCGGGAACCAGTTTTTAAACCAATTTCTAAATACGCCATTTTAGAATTCATCCGAATTATGACTGTAAACACACACTTTTACATGGTGTTTTGGATTCAAAATAGTACGTATACAGGTATGTATATAATGCCTTTCTCTAAAATTTAGACTTATATTAACTCTAATGCTAAAAGCATTAAAGTTCAGTCTACCTAGGCCTAGACCAAGGCCCTCGGCATAACCTAGTTTAGGCTTAGATGAACAGCTTTCGGCTCGATCATGTATGGGAAAAAATGGTGAAGGGCCTAGACATTTATTATTTCAGGTATATATTTATTCAATCAGACATACAACAAAATAAATTCATAACAAAATTACTTAAAAAGAATTACATTCAAATATACAAATCTATATATAAAATTATTCATTATAAAAATTACTTATTACAAAATCATTTAAAAATTACAATTCTATATACAACATTATTCATTATAAAATTTATCATTCATTAACAAAGAACATTCGACAACAGTAACCTTTGGCAATAGAGATTGAGTTGGAGGCTACTGGGTTAAAATAACATTACTGTACACAGGAACAAAAAAAAAAATGCCAATACAATTTAACGAAAAAAACTATTATAAATTAAATATCACCATTTAGTGAACTCCGTCAACAAGAAAAATAAAGAAAAATAAAGAGGCTGGCTGACCGCCAAGAACACTAGATGTTATTTAGAAGAGTCGTCATGTAAGGCAAAGGGCTGTTACGAAACCTTACAGTTTTAACATTATAATCCTTATATCGTTTTGTATTACGGAGGCACATGCCATGGGATTTATTATTTAACCTAAACCAGTGACTGAACCTCTCAGAATTAACAGCCTTCTTGGCAAAATTGATACATAGTTTGGTTTGGCGATCAGTCAGTCTCTCCAGTCCCAATATGTGAAGAGCTTCCGTATAATTATTAAATGCTTTAAAAAGAATGCACCTACAGACCCGTTCTTGTATGCGTTCAATTTGTGTTGACTGAGCACCAGTAAGCCCTGGGTGCCAGAGGGGGGCAGCATATTCTAGCACCGGTCTAATGTAACATTTATATATGAATACTAATTCTGAATACTAATTCTTCTCTGGAGAGGCCAGCACGTTTTAAGGACCACAATAAGTACATTTTTTTGTTTGCTTTCTTACATAAAGCTAGGGTATTTGAGTTCCACTTCAAATCATCATCAAGCAGAACCCCCAGGAGCTTAACTATCTGAAGTACAGGCAAGGATTGACCAGAGATATGGAGATCGATGTCTGGAAGAGGTTGACGACCAAAATAAACTCGCATAACCTGACACTTAGTCGGATTTAATTTAAGTTGATTCACCGATGTCCAGTGGTGTAGAGCATCTAGAGCCGTCTGGGTGTTGGATGGTTGGCCAATTTTAGTTGTTTCACAAAGGGTTTGGTCGTCTACATACTTCCAGGCATCGATTCCCAATTGCTCAGTATCCTGTAAAGAGTCATTTATTAAAACCAGAAAAATAATGACAGCAAGACGGGTTCCCTGAGGGACACCTCCAGTTAAGGATATCCACTCAGAATATTTACCACGACACTTAATCCTCTGTCGACGTTCAGTAATGAAATCGATTATCCATTGGACTAAGCATGATGGAGCACCCGTATCTAACAATTGTTTTCACGACAACAGTGTGATCTACCGTGTCGAATGCCTTCGAGAAGTCCGTCAACGTCAGAACACTGGCGTTGGCGGACCTCTCGGAGGCACTGACTAACGAGTGGTATACCTCAGTCAAGCAATGTGTGGTAGATATACCTCTCTGGTTTCCAAACTGCCTTCTATCAAGTAAAGGTTCAATACATTTAAGGATGACATTTGAAATTTTGCCTTCAGCAACTTTGGCCAGGGTAGGGGTCAAAGAAATAGGTCGAAGTTTTTCTATTACCGGGGGAAATTGTTTAGGTATAGGCACTACATTTGCCTCTTTCCATTGTGAAGGCACTTTACCTTCTTTAAAAGATGTATTAATTAGGTCAGTTATAGGGACTGATAATTCATACGCACATTCTCGAATAACCTTAGGGCGTAGGTTATCAGGCCCTCCAGCCTTTTTAACATTGATTTTACGAAGGTCTTCAAAAAACTCCCAGGTTTGGAAGGTAGGTGGTGGAACAAAACTAGGGAGATAAGCAGGCAAGGCCTCAAGGTTAATTGGCTCCTGGGATTGGGAGAAACTGGCTATAAAGGTGTTAATTGTATTTGTTATTAACATAATGTCATCTGGGTCTACATTTGGCACTTGGATACAAAGGTCATTTGATTTACCCATGTTAGCAAGTTCCTTTAATTCGCTGTGCCACTTCCCAGGATCAGCCTTCCGCAGTGGTCTCACTTTACGTGCTTGAAAAGATTTCTTAACATTTTTAATTTCGTATGCTACTTTGTTCCTAAGCCTTTTATAGAGAACCAAATTACCAGTTGCAAAAGCTTTCTGACGGTTCTTTATCAAGTCTTTGATGTGTTGTTTCATCCATGGCTTATCCGTTCTGTGAGACTTTATAGTTTTTAATGGTAAGTATTTTATCTATAGCATTGTTCACTAACATATAGAAGGCATCGGCTTTCGCTTGTGTATTTTTTGCTTGAAGTACCTCTTCCCATGATTGTGCTTGGGCCCATCGTCCGATCAGCGACAGCTTGGATTCAGGCATTGGTCTGACCTTTTTAAAATTAATTGTATTGTTTTTAATGGCAAAAGGCGGAGAAACTTCAATGACATTGTGGTCACTATGATCGATAGGCGCAGAAATTGTGGGCGAGTTGTATAATTCTCTCAGGTTAGTTAACACAACATCCAATATATTGTCACCTCTGGTGGGGACTTTAATAATCTGTTTAAGTTTGTTACCTGTACAAAGTGAACTGATGTTAAGTCGGTTCAGATCTCCGCAAATAAAGATTCCGGCTTGTGGTTTCTTAACTCTAGTTAGATCAACACATGTATGTAGATGGGTTAACATTACATTAACATTTTCAGCTTCGGTTCCAGATGGCAGGTAAACACTGCCTAACACAATATATGGTGCTACCCGAGGGAGCCTTGGGTGTTTCAATACTAGCCACTGAGCCTCGAGTTCATCTGGGACCACAATATCCGAGAAGATTTCTGCAGCAATGTTGTCTTTAGCATAAGTTAGTATTCCTCCACCTTTTCTATTTGACCTGCAATTATTAAAAATATTATAGCCTTCGATAGAATATCGCTCCGTGGCGGTATCTGATGTTATCCAGGATTCACATATGCAACAAACATCAGGTTGCTTATCATTAATTAGCATACGAAGTTCATCAACTTTGTTCATTATTGACCGCGCATTAGTGACCATCAGCTTAGGTAAGAAAAGAGAATGTATCCTTCTATTACTATTGGGTAGCACTTCTGCTACATAATGCCTAGGCCAACTACCAGAAGTACTGGAACTTGACATGTGTTTAGACGTATGTGTTATTAAACAGTTTAAGGGCCTACTTCTCTTACCAGATCTACACCCTCTTCTCGTGCGTGGTTTAGCAATGCCAAGCTGCTTAGTCCACTTCCATATTGGCGAATGGGGTCTAGGTTTATTCCCAGGCACAGCATTGCACAGCAATTATGGCTTTAAGCTGTCCTGAACAATACGTAACACGACACATAACTACACTCAGCGAGTAAATAAAACGGAATGCAAGCCAGGTGGGTATGCAGCAAGCATAAATCGTTGATGGCGGTGTTAGGCTCCGTCCAATAGCGAGTATCACAAAAAAAAAGGAACGACGAGAAGCAATTAAGTGCGTCTCGTATACTCGTATACAAATGCTCATCCAGGCTAAGTTTGCATAGGAAAAAATTCAATTAAATTATGTCTCTCCCCAATCTCAGTTGTCAAAAAGACTCAACACAATAGGCGGACAAATCATCAACAGCAATCAAACAACACAAACCATAAGCAATGGAAGGTTGAAATCAGCAAAAAACAGTTTTAAAACGAGCCACTGGATAGCGGCCTTGCGGCGCTCTTCCAGGTATTAGGGAATGTGACATTTAAATTGCCAAGAGGCTCCCTACTTTGAGTGTCATAGTGGGTCCCCTAATAGTACCTCAATGATGTTCTATTACCTCAGTGCAGGCCTATTTGAATTCACTTTTTTTCTACTACTAGCCTCCCATATTTGGCTTAAGGCCTACTAGTACTATATAGCCCTATGTAGACATAGGCCTCTACCCTAGGCATAACCTAGACTCGATTTCATACCAGAGGTTCAACCTAGATACGCCTAAGCTTGTTTCCCCCCCCCCCCACACTCCACTCCCTCTCTTCCTAGTCAAAGACTGACTTATTAAATACTACATTATTTACTAGATTTACTGCTCAGTGCAGCTAACTGGTTATTGGTAACAATGTTATCAGTTGAAAACTAGCCTTGGCAAAGGAATAAAAAGAAAGGTCCAGGGAGGAAATTTTACAGATTGACCACCTAAGCCGCACCATGGTAACTTTGGAAATATTCATAATGTATTAATAAATTTTAATCATACAGATAATTGAATGTGTCACCTGCTCTGATATTTTTAATTACCTCTTCTAGGCCTATAACATGTTTAATAGTATAGATATTTACATTGATAATAATAATAATAATAATAATAATAATAATAATAATAATAATAATAATAATAACAATAATAATAATATTTAAAAAAAACTATAAATCAGATGTTGATCATTTTAGAGATGTTGCTTTTTTGTTTTACTCACTCGCTCATTCATTCATTATTTCATTCATTTGTTCATTTATTCATTCATTTATTTATTCATTAATTCATTTATTCATTCATTCACCCACTCACTCAATCATTTATTCATTCATCTATTCATTCATTCAGTTATTCATTCACTCACTCACTCATTAATTATATATTAACTAAATAATTATTTAAATAATTAATTATTAATTAATTAAATAATTAATTAATAAATTGATTGATTAATTATTTAATTCATTCATTCATTCATTCATGTATTCATTTATTTATTTATTCATTCATTCATTCATTTATTTATTTATTCATTTTCATTTATTCATTTGATTTTATTTATTCATTATTTATTTATTCATATTCAATCACTCATTTTTATTATTCAATCATTCATTCATATTTTCATTCATTCTTTTTCATTCATTTTATTAATTATGGTTATAAAACACACGTGTGTTTTTGATTAAAACTAAAAATAATAATTGTTTGGAACAGTGGTGGATTTAAGGGTGAACCCAGCTGGACTGGTCCCCAACTAAAGTTTTCAAAAATTAAAAAAAATGAGAAAATAGGAAAATCATACAAGGATACAATATAATAATAATAATAATAATAATAATAATAATAATAATAATAATAATAATACATCCATCCATCCATCTTTATTTATTCATTCGATTTTATTTATTCATTCATTTTTAATTATTAATTTTTATTAATTAATTAATTAATTCATTCATTCATTCATTTCAATTTTCATTCATTCATTTTCATTTATTTTACTCATAGATTACTCTATGCATTAATTATGGTTATAAAACACATGTGTATTTTTTGATTAAAACTAGAAATAATAATTTTTTGGAACAGTGGTGAATTTCAGGGCGAGCCCTGCTGCACTGGTCTCCAACTAAATTAGAAAAAAAAAAGGAATAAAGGAAAATTATACAAGAATACAATATTATTAATAATAATAATAATACTATATACTACTGAGCGGGCCATTTCAAATCATCTAGAGGTGCAATAATCATACATTTTCTCACCTCAGCCAAAACCGTGGTGGGGTGAGGTGTACAGAACCACAACCTGTGCATTGGTCCCTCCATGGCCTCCCTCTATTTCAAATTTCTGGATAATCCCCTACTAAGTGGGTATGTAAGTTGTGCCTATGCATGGCACTGCTAAGGTAGCAACTGATCTAACAAGGATTGTTGATACTATATATTAATTGAAAAAAAAAAATCACCTCCCAACGTAAGTATTAATTTTAAAGAGGTGATGCTAAACAAGTATTTTTTTATTTGGCCAAATTTAGTATTATTTTTTAAGGTTATTTCAACATTAATGGTATGTATATTATTATGCAGTAACCTTGGCCTTATGATGGTTTTGCACACCCAGGCCTACCTCTCTACTAGCAATTTTCTACACAAATATGAGTTAGATTACTTCTCAGTATAATCCTGCAAATTAAATACTGATCTCGCCAAATTCATCCTCAATGTCCCGTATTCATACAGTACTTTGTTTTAAGGTACTTCATATTTTGCCAGTTCATTCAAATTCAAATTCAATTTAAAAATACTTTATTATCCAAAGGAATATTCAATTGGCCATGGTATAATATATCAAGCAATGTACAATAAAAAAAAATACATATAAAAAAAATTTTTTAAAAGTTTATGTTAAGTTTGTTTTCTTTTATTAAATTATTTTAAAAAATAGCACAAAAATTTGTTAAACAATTTAAAATAGAAAAATATTTAACATCCTCAAACTCTCCGGACTTGTATATAACCTATTATTTTTATATTATTATTTATTTATTATTTTGTTATTATTTGTTTATTTTGTTATTATTGCAAATTACATACATATGTTTTAACTCTGGTTTATGTTATATGGTTTTCACTAAATTAGGACTAACGTATCTCTGACAGACTGCACTTGAACTATCTAGAAAAATAACCTCAAGTCAATGATAAAGTAGCTAGTGGGTCCTAAAAACACACATGTCTGTCCACACATTAATAAGATACCCAATGGAATTACAAATACCTTTGTTATAGTAATCTTATTATTAGGACTCACATTATCATTAAAATGTGTTTTATTGAAATGTTTTAGACAATTTATAGGTCAATATGTAATATGATGGTCTCATTGCTGCCCCTCATTTCAATTCTTAACTTTATTAAATGTGTATTTACATCTCAGAAAAACATAGTTTTTCATTTTTTTGCCTAAGTCCTATAAATGTTACGGCTTATAACTTAACTTAAATTATTGTTGATCTCATTTTGTCTATTCTTAAGACGAATTTTGAATAATGGTTTTAGCTATATGAACTATGCAGGGATATTAGTGTGGCCAATATTTTGTTGATGAGTTTTGGCTTAGGGGAAGTTTTATAGGGTCTATTACTTTCATTAGTCTTGTGAAAGGATGCAATAATTGAAATAAATCTAAAGACTAAATCTCACTTCTCCTCAACAGAAAATATTGTATGCAAGCAGTTAAACTGGGAGCAAGTTTATGCTTAACAGAACGTGCAAAAGGTAGTTTTACTGTTTACAGTATATAAAGGGTTGAATATCAGAATAATTATGTATTATGCCCACTTTACAGTTATTTTAATTATGTCATTAAGTTTGTGAATACACATAAAAGAGATTTGTGTAGACTATTGCAGTAATCCAAAAAACAAAATAATAATTCATACATAGGACATGATGGAACATCGTAGGCTACCCTGTAGCTTTCAACGAATGAAGTCCAATAAAAGTCATTGTGTAATAAAATGCCTCCGACGGGATTCGAACCTGCGACTCTCGCTGTGTGTGTGTTCTGTGTGTGTGTGTATGTATGTGTGTATGTATGGGTGTATGTGTGTATGTATGTATGTATATGTATGTATATGTATGTATGTATGCAGTCACAATTACATATGCATATTATACATATAAACGTCAAATAATTAAATTAAAAATGTTATAAAGAAGGTTTATACAAATATATTTGAAACCCTTACACACATAAATTTATGAATACAGTCAAACGTGGAATAAAATAATTTCACTATAATCGACGGGTTTTTAGTTAAATATCAAAAAATGAAAGTATGTTCTAAAGAATGTTCATAAATATATTTCAAACCCTTACTCAAAATTAATTTCTATGAATACCGACAATCGTGGAATAAAAATAATAATAACAGTTTTTAGTTAAATATACAATAATTTTTTTTACAATAGAAATTATAACCACAAAAATTGAGCCCAACAATATTTGTTGAAATTAAATAATTATTTTCATGTAATTCAAACACCTTTTCCCCCAATGATTTCTTAAATTAAGCATCAAACATTGTGGATTTCATTTTTAAACAGATTACAGAAATTAGTCAATGGTACATACTGATAGGCAGAAAAGTTGTTGAAATAGCCTTAATGATGACTATAACAGATGATTATTGCATTGAAGTAAACCATAATATCTTATATTTAATGAACATGGAGAATGATGGTTTTAATTAAAAACAATGACATGTAGGATTAAATATTTATAATACTTAGTTTTTTGTCAAAATGTAAAATACAGTACTATACATAAAATTCAATAGCAAAAAAATGGCAGCTTATAACTAAATTTTTACTATGCTCTCAAGAGCCAATACCTCTCATATAA